TGCCAGCCCACCCGCACATGCTGGGGGGGAAAAAAGGGGGTGAGGGTCCCTGAGGGGGCATGAGGAGCTGCTGCCAGCCCACCCGCACGTGCTGAGGGGCAAAAAGGGGGTGAGGGTCCTTGGTGGGGGGGGGCTGGGGAATACTGAGAGGCAGGGGGAGGTAGAGGAGGGAGAGAAGGGAGAGGGGGGGAAAGAGGAACAGGAGACTGAGAGGAGGAAGAGGAAGGAGAGGGGAGGAAGAGGAAGGAGAGGGGAGGAAGAGGAGGGGGGGAGGCAGAGCAGCCCCCACCTCCATGGTGTAGTTGCTGTGCTTGTTGTCAAAGATCAGGGCCTCCTGGATGAGCTGGTGCTGCTGCTCCAGCAGGTCCAGGTTGGGTTTGTAGTCCACGATGCTCTGCTCGTACTGCTTGAGGTGGCTCAGCTGGTCCTCCAGGGTCCCGTTCATCTCGATGGAGATGCGCCCGATCTCCTGGGAACGGGGGGGCACCTGGATCAGGTGGGGAGCAGCCCAGCCAAGGGGGGCTGGGGAGCCAAGGGGGGTCCCCGAGGAGCTCCCACCTCCATCTTGGTCTGGATCCAGGGCCCCACCAGGTTTGCTTTTTTGCCGGGGCAGCGACCTGCGGGCGCAGCCGCTCGTTGGACTGTTGCTTGTTCTGCTCCGCCTGGAGCGCCTGGTCCCGCTGGGGCACCAGCTGCTGCACCTGGGGCACGGGACACGGGTGGGACACGGGGGACACCAGGGACACCCCTGGGGCACGGGACACGGGTGGGACACGGGGGGACACCAGGGACACCCCTGGGACACAGGACACGGGTGGGATACGGGGGGGACACCAGGGACACCCCTGGGACATGGCTGGGACACCTTGGGATACGGGTGGGACACCCTGGGACACAGGGCCACAGGTGGGACACGGGTGGGACATGGGTGGGACATGGGTGGGACACCCCTGGGACATGGGGACACGGGTGGGACACCTTGGGACACAGGTGGGACACGGGTGGGACACCCTGGGACATGGGGACACGGGTGGGACACCTTGGGACATCCTGGGACACAGATGGGACATGGGTGGGACACCCTGGGACACGGGGACACAGGTGGAACACCCCTGGGACACGGGTGGGACACCCTGGGACACCCCTGGGATATAGGGACACAGGTGGGACACCCCTGGGACACGGGTGGGACATGGGTGGGACACCCCTGGGACATGGGGAAACGGGTGGGACATGGGTGGGACACCCCTGGGACATGGGGAAATGGGTGGGACATGGGTGGGACACCCTGGGACATGGGAACACAGGTGGGACACAGGTGCGGCACCTTGGGACACCCCTGGAACACCCCTGGGACATGGGGACACGGGTGGGACACCCTGGGACATCCTGGGACACAGATGGGACATGGGTGGGACACCCTGGGACACGGGGACACAGGTGGAACACCCCTGGGACACGGGTGGGACACCCTGGGACACCCCTGGGATATAGGGACACAGGTGGGACACCCCTGGGACACGGGTGGGACATGGGTGGGACACCCCTGGGACATGGGGAAACGGGTGGGACATGGGTGGGACACCCCTGGGACATGGGGAAACGGGTGGGACATGGG